TGGGGTTGGTTGGTATCTCATTGTGGTTTTGATTTGCATCTCCCTTATGATAAAGGATGTTGAACTTTTTTTATATTTTTTTTGGCTGTTCATATGACTTTCTTTGAGAGCTGTCTGTTCAGCTCATTTACCCATCTTTTAATTCTTCTTTTGTTGTTGTTATTGTTCTTTTTTTTTTTTTTCCAGGTAAGCTGTTTGAGTTTTCTGTAAATTCTGGTTATCAGTCCCTTATCTGAGGCATAATTGACAAATATAATCTCCCATTCTGAGGGTTGCCAATTCACTATAATTGTTTCTTCTGCTGTGCCAAACTTTTTAACCTGATGTAATCCCACTTGTCTATTTTTGGGAATTTTGCCTGTGCTTTAGGAGTCTTATTTAAGAAGCCTTTGACTTCTGCGATGTCTCCAAGAGTTTCTCCTGTGTTACCCACTAGTAGTTTTGTTTTTTTTTTTGAAAGAATCATTTTATTTAATTTTATTCATTGTCAGTTGATTGATTGATTGAAGTTTACCAGAGAGAGAGAAGGAAAGTGAGAAAGAAAGTCGCCAGGTCTAGGACTCATACCACTGTCAGCCGTGTGGGAGTCCAGCTGCCTTAACCACCACGCCACCTGCTTGCCCCTCCACTAGTGGTTTTATAGTTTGTTTTTTTTTCTTTTTTATTTTTGGAGAGGTTTTCGTTATAGGGCGTGTGCGCTCGCCAGACATACAGAGAGAGACATAGAGACAGAAAGCGAGAAATCACCCCCAGGGGGGATGGTCACGCCACAATCCCTTCTCCTCCATTCTCCTCTCGGGATCTTGGGCACGCACACACACGCGCCCGGCGTGAGTTTTAAGCCACCGGGTCCGGGACGCGAATCGCGGTCGACTACATGGCAGTCCAGCGACATAGCCATTACGCTAATTGCTGGTTCCCAGTAGTTTTATAGTTTGAAGGCTTGGGTTTAGATCTTTAATCCTTTTTGAATTGATCTTTGTTAGTGGTGAGAGATAGTGATTCTCACTTTTTGATGTCCTTGTTATTACCAGTTCCTAAACTGGAGATTCTGCTGTTTATCTTTGCTGGTTGCTGATTTGACTTTGTTAGATCTGCTAAGTTACTTACTACTTTTGCTTTGTGTTGGGTTGTTGGAAAAGTCATGATATATTTTTCTGTTTTTCTATACAAAAATGTGAAATGACTTTTCCCATGACCCAATAGTTTCCAAAATGTTGTTGCTATTACCTCATTTTCTCTTTGTCCTCATGGATTTTATGCCTTTAAGAATCTTACTTGGGCCCTCAGGTGGCATGTTGATTAAGGATGCTGGACTCCCACATGGCTGACCACGCACGGTTCAAGTCCTGGACCTGGCAGCTTGCTTTCTTGCTTTTCTTTTCTCTATCTCTCTTTGTCTCTCTCTGGTCAAATTAAAAATTAATAATAATATGAATAAATTTTTTTTTTTAAAGAAGAACCTTTTACTGTCATTTAAATGGGATTTCAGGGAAAGGTAGTAGTTGCAGGTGTTCAATTCATTAGCTTTAACTAATGTCTCCTTTTCTTTAAAAAAATAAAAAAGAGGTTTATATTGTGGATTTGAAGACAAGACCCTTTTATGAGCTATCTTCTATCCATCTCTCTAGCACCATTTCTCACCTACTACAGTTGGCCCCCAGCCTAAGCTCCAGATACATGTATCTACTTAGATTACCAAACAGGCTATGTTGCCTTTCAATTCTGCACATGCTATTTTCTCAGTGTGCTGTTGGTCCTTTAAGACTCTTTAGTTAAGCTTCACTGATCTGTGTGGGTATTCTCTGTCAAAGCGCTAATTGTATTATTGGAATTCCCTATTTATTTTAGTTTTCAGATAAACTATGATATTTTTCTTCTTCTTTCTTTTTTTTTTTTTTTTGAGAGGTTTTTGCTATAGAGCACATGCGCTCGCCAGACAGACAGAGAGAGACAGAGAGATAGAAAGCAAGAACTCACCCCCCAGGGGGGATGGCCATGCCGCAATCCCTTCTCCTCCATTCTTCTCTCGGGATCTTGGGCACGCACGCACACGCGCCCGGCGTGAGTTTTAAGCCATCGGGTCTGGGATGTGAACCGCGGTCGACTATGTGGGAGTCCAGCGACATAGCCATTACGCTAACTGCTGGTCCCGATAAACTATGATTTTTTTAAAAACAGAAGTCAGCCATAGTAATAGGTGTCTTTACTGAGCACATTGAAGAGTCAGACCCTTACATGCATTATATCATTTAGAGTCTCACAACTCCTGGTGGTGGTGTTTTCACAGTGTGTTAATAATACATAGTTTGCAGAGGAGAACCCCAGCCATAGTCCTTACTCAAGGTCACGGGCCAGGAAGTCACAGGATTAGAGGCCAGTGTCTATTTACTTTTAAAAAGTTCTCACTGTAGAGGTTTCTTAACGCAGGGGAACTGGTAGAAGGACCATCCATGGGTTAGCTGCAGGAAATCTTTGAAGACACTATAATTATTTGCAAAATTTCACATGAATATGCATATTTTTGGAGAATTTAGAGTGTGTATCAGAAATACCTAGGCTGCTTTATTTTTTTATTTTTATTTTTTGGAGAGGTTTTCACTATAGAGCACGTGCGTTCCCCAGAAAGACAGAGAGACAGAAAGTGAGAAATCACCTCCCAGAGGGATGGCCACACCGCAATCCCTTCTCCTCCATTCTTCTCTCAGGATCTTGGGTATGCACGCACATGTGCCCGGCATGAGTTTAAGCCACCAGGTCCAGGACTCGAACCGTGGTTGACTACATGAGAGTTCAGTGACATAGCCATTACACTAACTGCTGGTCCCCTAGGCTGGCTTTTTAGAAATTTAATAGTTTTAGACCCACCCCAAAGATCTGCTGAGTTACAGTAAGTCTCTGAAGTTAAGTGCCTTGTAAAATGCAATTTTGAAAAGCTTCCTAAATTATTCTTTATACCAGGATCTCTGAACACCATCTATATTAACCTTTAGACCTGGCATATAGTGAAAACTTTGTAAATGTTTAAAGATAGAGTGAGGGAGGAATTTATATTTCGGGCATGACCTAAAGTAAATTTCCTATGTAAGACCAGAGCATAAGTGGGAAAATCACTGATTTTCTCTATAATATAAATAAAGTGATAACATCTATCTGTACCTATCCTCTCCCTTTGTATATAATTGGTGAAATAGCAGAGCTTGGATTATTTTTTTTTTTTTCAAAGGTAGAGGGTAACTTTTTAGAGCTAGTTGAAAGAGTGAAAGAATAGTGCCACAATAAACATTGATGTGCAAGCACTTTTCCGATGAATAATTCTTTGGTCCTTTGGGTAGATACCAAGGTGTGGGATTGCTGGATCATATGGTAATTCTATTTGTAGATTTTTGAGGACTCTCCAAATTGTTCTCTACAGTGGCTGGACCAATTTACATTCCCACCAACAGTGTAAGAGAGTTCCCCTTTCACCACACCCCCACTAGCACTTATCATTTTTTGTTTTTTTAATCTTAGTCATTCTGACTGGGATTAGGTGGTATCTCGTTGTTATGATCTGCATTTCTCTTACAATGAGGGATGTTGGGCATTTTTTCATATGCCTTTTGGCTATTCGTATGTCATCTTTAGAAAGTGGTTTTTTCCAACTCATTCTCCCATCTTTTAATAGGGTTGATCATCTTTTTTCAGAACAGCTGCTTGAGTTCCTTGTGTATTCTGATTATCAGTCCCTTATCTGACACATACTTTACAAAAATATTTTCCCATTCTGAGGGCTGTCTATTCACACTAATTACTGTGTCATTTGCCATGCAGAAACTTCTTAGTCTGATGTAATCCCACTTGTCTATTTTGGGGATTATCAACTGTGCTTTGGGGGGGGTCTTATTTAAGAAGTCTTTGCTTACCCCAATGTCTCCCAGAGTTTCCCCAGTGTTTTCCAGGAGCAGTTTTATAGTTTGGGGTTTTAGGTTTAGCCCACGAACAGATGAATGGATTGAAAAACTGTGGCACATATATTCTGTGGAATACTATTTAGCCATAAAAATTTTTTTAAAACCCTGGCTTTTGACAGAAAGCAGAAGCATATGGAAGATTTACTGCTGAGTGAAGCAAGCCAGGCTATAAAGGGGAGACATTGTATGTCCCCACTTAATATATACTGAGTGTCCATGTTCTGTGCTGAAACTGATTGACTAAAGGATATAGAAACACAGTATATGGATGTAAATACCAGATACAGTGTGTGTGAAAGAGTAGAGTCTGAGGAAGAACATTTAGAAGAAAAATAGAGAGGCAAAGCATTAATATGACATAAAAAATGTGGTATTATCTGTTGAAGATAATTTTGTAGTTTTATCAACTGGACTAGGAAGAAATGTTCACATGTTGAGATATTTACTTTGTAAGGTAAATAACGCGATTGAATGTATAAAAGAAAATGGAATTTAAAATTTTTTTAAAGTTAAACAAATATATAAATATAAAAAAAGAGTGAAAGAAAAAAATCTAGGGATAGGTGTAGGACAACTCAGATGTTTGTACTCTGATTTTGGTTTCTCTGGCTTCTTGGATTATATTTGATCCCATGTTTTCATTCTAAAATGTTAGGTTTTATACATTTGGCTGTCATGGATACTGCTAGTTTATAGACCTGTTTTCATAACTTGTACACTTATAAAAATAGCTAGTGATATGGAAAATGGGGAGATTGATATGTTGCCTTGGTAACATATTAATGTAATTGGTTACAACTAAAGAATAAGAACAGAAAGATACTAAATTACCTGGTTACCTGCCCGTGCTCCCTCTGTGTTTAAGGTTTTTAAAAATATATAATTAAATTTTTTATATAAATTTATGTATAAATTATGTAATATGCTTTACTCATAAGCCTTTTTTACACAGTGTGGAACTAATTTTGTATGTTTATGTGTGTAATAAATTATCAGACTCTTTTGTTTTTTATATTTTCTATTTATTATTTTTACTTTCTTGTCTAGGCATTTAAAAGATTATGGCATCTGAGACCCACAATGTTAAAAAACGGAACTTTTATAATAGCATTGAAGATCATCCCATTGGTCTTCCTAGAAAAAGGATCTCTAATTTCACTAATAAGAACATGAAGGAGGTAAGTCTGTGGTTTCTAAGTAATAGGTAAAGCAGTTTAAACTGTGTGTTATTCTGGTCAAGTTGTTTGAATAGTGGGAGGATAATTCTGCTTAATCACCTTATGTTAAAATAAAATGATTGAAGTATAAACATTATATTCCTAAATCTCAGAAAACTTTTTGGATAATATACTGTTTCGATATAATTTAAATATTTTAGCTTAAGAGGAATCGTAGAGATTGTTCACCATTGTGACTCATGAGCATTGATACAATTTTTAAACTATCTTAAAATTCAACTCACTTATTAAACTTCCTGTATGTATAAATATGACTAGCATGAAAAGTAGGTAGATGGATATATTGCTTTGCCAAAAATGCCTACAATGTTGTTGTGCCTAATGACTGGGACTACAGCATCAGAAAACTTTAATATACAAGACCTACTCTATGAATTTTAGATTTGTTGATAGCAGTTCTAAAATTTACGTAATTATTAAAAAACTTAAATATGCTGCAATTATCTGCTTTCACTCTTCAGGTTAAGAAATCTCCAAAACAGTTGGCTGCTTACATAAATAGGTAAGAACTTCTTTAAACTTTGTGGGAAGCAGCAAATACTGAAAGCTGAGTAAAGATGAAAATAGTAGAAAAACTTATCATAGTAACATTTATTATAATAATGAGCTCTTTATCAGATAGGTTCTGTACTAATTTATATCAATATTACCTCTATGTACTCAATAGAATACTTAATAGGTATACTACTTTTTTTGTAGAGAAATTTTTGCTATAAGGCACATATGCTCACTGGAGAAGCAGAGAGAGACAGAGATACAGAAGTGAGAAATCACTCCCTGGGGGGATGGGCACTCCATAATCCCTTCTCTGTTCTCCTCTCGGGATCTTGAACACGCATGCAGGCACACATGCACCTTCCAGGTCCAGGACTTGAACTGCGGTCAACTACATGGGAGTTCAGTGACATAACCATTACACCATCTACTGGTTCCCTCAATAGGTATACTTCTAACAGCTGAGGAGATAACTAGAGACCACAGAAATTAAGTGATTTGATCAAGGTTATGTGTGTATAGCAGAGCTTTCTAGAGACTACATGACATTTGATAGCACAGTAGACTGAAATGCAGGAGCACAAATGAAACTCCACCTGTCTTCTGTTAATTACATGTTAGAGATTTACAAAAAATATGAAACAGTACCATTCTCCTCACTGTTTTATATTGTTCTAGAGAATATGGTTTTTGTTTTGGTTAAAATAGTCTATGTCAATATATAATGAGGGTTTTTTTTTTTTTAATGAACTAACAAATATTTTAAATTTTTTCAGCTTTAATTTTTTTTTTTAAGAGATATTTTTTGTTATAGGGTGCATGTGCTTGCTGTAGAGACAGAGACAGAAAGTGAGAAATCAACCCTCATGGGAGACGGCCATGCCACAGTCCCCCTCTCGGGATCTTGGGCATGCACGCACATGCTTCCAGCATGAGTTTTCAGCTGCCAGGTCCGGGACTCAAACCACAGTCAACTATGTGGGAGTCAAGCAATGCAACCATTATGCCACCTGCTAGTTCCTTAATTTTTGATATCGTAAATATCAATGGATAGTACCCACATAAATTGTTAGACTTTTTAAGTCTTTAACAATTTTTTTAATTAAAGAATTATTTTATTTAACTTTATTTTATTTATTTAAATTTGACCAGAGAGGGACAGAGTGAGAGAGAGAGAGAAGAAAAGTGAGAAAGCAAGCCTCCAGATCCTGGACTTGAACTGTGGTTGACCATGTGCAAGACCAGCAATGTAACCAATATGCCATCTGCTGGTCCCATGTCCTCAATAATTTTAAAGAGTACAACATGTCCTGACACTAAAACACTTGAGAACCACTGTATTTAACCACGAAATTTGCTCTATTATGTTCTCTTACTGAAACAAAATTAAACATACTTTAGTTTCATCAAAATAAACTTTAAAATATTGAAACTTAAACAGTTCGTCACTTTCTTAGAAAAATATTGTGTCTAGAAAGTGTTACGTTTACTGCCAAAATGGTCTTTACCATTGCATTATAAAAGCATCTAATTAATTCTTTCTCTCTTCATTTGATACAAAACATCATTCTTTTCATTGCCTTCCAGATCATTTGTAACTTCCTATTTAGTTTCTTTTTCAGACTAAGAATTAAGATTTGTTTTTTAAGGGGCTAGCAGTTAGTGTAATGGCTATGTCGCTGAACTCCCATGTAGTCCACTGCGGTTTGAGTCCCAGACCTGGTCCCTTAAACTCACACCAGGCATGTGTGTGTGCATGCCCAAGATCCCGAGAGGAGAAAGGAGGAGAAGGGATTGTGGCATGGCCATCCCCCCTGGGGGGTGATTTCTCGCTTTCTGTCTCTCTGTCTCTCTGTCTTTCTGGCTAGTGCACGTTCCCTATAGCAAAAACCTCTCAAAAAAAAAAAAAAAAAAAAAAGATTTGTTTGTAAAGTATTCTATTTTTAAATCCAGTAGTTCCTGGTCATGGAACATGGCCTATGAAATCAATGTTTAAAATTTTTCAAGAGTTTTATATAGTTATTTCTAATTAAAAAATATATTATTTTTACAGAACAGTTGGACAAGCTGTGAGAAGCCCAGATAAACTACGTAAGGTGATCTATCACAGAAAGAAAGTTCATCATTCCTTTCCAAATCCTTGTTACAGAAAAAAACAGTCCCCTAGAAGTGGGGGCTGTGACATGGCAAATAAAGAAAATGAACTGGCTTGTGCAGGCCACCTGCCCGAAAAATTACACCATGATAGTCGAACATATTTAGTTAACTCCAGTGATTCTGGTTCTTCACAGACAGAAAGCCCATCATCAAAATATAGTGGTTTTTTTTCTGAGGTAAGTAGTTTTTCTAAGTCATTTTTAGCTTTATGCCTGTTGTACTATTGCTTTTTTTTCTTTGCCATATTCTACTAGCAGAATAATTTACCACCCATTGAATACAGATTTATTTCAGTGATAGTGCTTCCTTGAGACAATTTTCTAAGTTAATCAAATTTGGGTCAGTAATCTATTTCCTTTCTCTAATTAATTAGCATTGTCTAAGATAGAATGAAATGCTTGACATGCTGCTATAAATACCCAGAAGAGCAAGTTGGCCAGTAGCAATTTAAAAGAAGGGAAGGGGAGAAATCTTGTCTAAAACGTGTACCACTGAAGCAATGATGCAGACGTTTTTTTCCTGAGCCGTCAGAATTGCCTTTGCCTGGACAGATCTGTTACAGTTTGCTGCTCTTCGGCTTAAGCAAAATTAGTTCTTTGACCAGGCTCAAGGGAGTTTTGGGGGGTGGTAGAAACAGGCCAGCTCCATAGCTTGGTGGTTAAGGTAGCCACATCTCACATGGCCAGCCGTGTGGTGGTTCAAGTCTTGGACTCAGCGGCTTGAGAAACATGCTGGGTACATTTGCATGCATACTCAAAATTCCAAAAGGAGGGAGAAATGGAGGAGAAGGGATTGTAGAATAACCATTCCCCATGGGTGATGGGGTGCTTTCTCCTCTTCCTCTTTGTCTCTTTCTGGTGAGTACATACGTCCTCTAGCAAGAAAACCCATGTTAGAAATATTTTAAAACTGGATTGTGATTATGGTTGTATAACATTATAAATCTAAAAAGCATTAAATTACATACTTTCAATGGATGAATTTTATAGTATATAAATTATACCTTAATAAAGTCATCTTTACAAAAAATGATCATTTGAAGGAATGGGTTAATAAAATTTACAAATGCACTAGTTTACAATAATAAGTAGGTTTAGGGCTAGCCAGTGATATTAATATGACTGGAACCCACCTGGCTGACTGCACAGTTTGAGTCACAGGCCCATTGGCTTAAAAAGCAGACAAGATGTACATACGTGCATGCCCAAAACCCTGAAAGAAGGGAGAAATGGAAAAGAAAGGATTACAGTGTGATCATTCCCCGTGTAGGGTGCTGTCTCTCTCTGGCCATCACATGTACCCTCTGGCAATTTTCTTTAAAGGGGGTCAAAAACATGTTTACTATATAAGTTGAAGAAAATAAATTCAAGGAAACATATTATTTATCTTCACATTTAGAAATAGCAGTATTAGGGACCAGCAGTTAGCATAATGGCTATGTCGCTGGACTCCCACGTAGTCAACCGCGGTTCGCGTCCCGGACCCGGTGGCTTAGAACTCACGTCGGGCGTGTGTGCATGTGTGCTCAAGATCCCGAGAGGAGAATGGTGGAGAAGGGATTGCGGCATGGGGGGTGATTTCTCGCTTTCTGTCTCTCTGTCTGTCTCTGTCTGGTGAGCACACATTCCCTATAGCAAAAACCTCTCCAAAAAAAAAAAATAGCAGTATTAAGTTTTTGATTTATCTTTTCTTTTCATACTCTATACATTGTTTGATAACTTTTTATTTTATTTGCTTTGGAAAACAACACTGTTTCTTTCTGGCATGACAGTTTGAAAAGCATTTTCTGAAATACAGAAGCAGAAAAAAAATCTTTTAAAATTGAAATGTATGGCCAGACAGTGGTGCAATAGTGAAAATGCAACACATTGTGAGGTAAAAATGCAACCCTCCCACATGGGAGAGTTCTGGGTTTGTGTCTAGAAACCTCCTTTTTACACTGGGCATATATACGCCGACAATTCTGGACTGGCTGAAAGTGGACTGCAGTGTCAAGACTCTATTGGGAATGCGTGCTGTCTCTATCTCTTCCACTCATTGAAGAAATTAAAAAAAAAAAAAAACTTAAAAAATTTTAATGATAATAAGTGCATATAGGTGAATGAAGATATCTAGGATAATTGCAAGTAATAAGATTTTTAAAAGGTAGAAAATAAAGTGTTATTGCCAAAAATCATGATGAAATGATGTAAAAGAAATATTTCATCTGCCAGAGAAACCATTTTTAATTGTAAAAATAAGATCTTGAGTAATAGAAAGTTAAAGGGTATAGAAGGGAAGGGAGTGAATGGCATTTGTGAGAAAAGAGGAGCCAGGAGCATTCGACATAATTATCATGGGCTCTGGAGTGACCACAAACCTTCGTATTAAAGAGAAACTCTATTGTACTAATTCATTCACAAATATTTATTGTGAACTTTCCACTGATAATCCTTAACACTGCTATTTCCAAATTTTCAATGTCTTCTGCAGTCTCTGAGATGATAAATTGAGGGGTAAATAACAGACACTACCCATAATTTCATGCAGTTATAAAAGTGATGCCCTAGACCAACACAGATCATAGAAATTATGTATTGTGAAGGAAAGGACTTGTGACTGTGTAACCAAAAATCTGACCTAGATTGTGCCTTTTGTTGATTCTTCACTTAAATTAAGGGAATAAACTTATGAGTACAAATATCTCTAAAGTTTTTTTCAATTATGTATTTGTATCACTGCCACAGTGAGACATTTCTCTTAATACCCTACTTTTACTTTGCTTCCTCATTGTCACTACTTTTCACAAACTTTCCTTAATCTCATATTTAACTAATAGATTTATTGATTGCCCTTTTCTCATTTCAGAGATTTTCTCCTGATTGACCTGCTTTAAAACTCCAAATTTAGGGGCTGTCAGGTGGCATGGTGGTTAAGGGTGCTGGACTCCCACATAGCCGACTGCAGTTTAAGTCTGGGACTTGGTGTCTTACTTTCTCGCTTTCTTTCTCTCACTCTGCCCTTCTCTGGTCAAATTAAAATAAATAAATAAAGTTAAATAATTCTTTAAATAAATAAAATCCAAATTTAAAACTGTATTATCTGTGGGACCAGCAGTTGGCGTAATGGGTACATCACTGGACTCCCATGTAGTTGACCGTGGTTCGAGTCCTGGACCTGGTAGCTTAAACTCACCCCAGGTGCATGTGCATGCATGCCCAAGATCCCTAAAGGAGAATGGAGAATAAGGGATTGCAGCATGGCCATCCCCCCTGGGTGGTGATTTTTCACTTTCCGTCTCTCTGTCTCTCTGTCTTTCTGGCAAGCACACGTGCCCTATAGCAAAAATCTCTCAAAAAGAAAAAAAAAAAAAAAACTATATTATCTGCTTAGTGTTCGAATATGTGTAACATTTGATCTAGCCGTTAATCTTAACAAAAGCATTTATGCAAGTGGACATATTTATATTTGTCTAGAAGTTCACCAATGCATAGTTTTAATAAGTAAAAACCAGATCTAATGTAAATAAATTATAGCATATAAAGACTGGAAGATATGCTTTTTTTTTTTTTTTTTTAGTTTTGCTATAGAGCTCATGTGCTTATCAGAGAAAGATGAGGGTTAAGAGGGGTTGAGAAATCACCCCTCTGGAGAGATGACTGCAATCCCTTCTCCTTTCAGGACTTTGGGCATTTATGGATGCATATGAGCCCAGTGTTTTGTTTTGGTTTTGGTTTTTAAAGATTTACTTACTTATTTAATTTTATTTGTTATTATTATTTATTTTTTAATTTGACTAGAGAGAGAAAGAGGGAAAGTGAGAAAGCAAGCCACCAGGTCCAGGACTTGAACCATGGTCTGCCATGTGGGAGTCCAGCACACTAACCACCTTGCCAAGTGCTGGCCCTCCCAGTGTGTTTTTCAAGCCACCTGGTTGAGGACTTGGAACTGTGAAGTCAGCTATGTGGAATCTAGCTGCTCTAACCGCCATGCCGCTGACTGTCCCCACTATTATTATTATTTTTTAAATGATGTTTATCTATGTTTTGTCATTGCAAATATTCATATAGGTGGAAAACAAGATTTTCAATTGTAGGTATTTTAATTTTTTTCAGAGCATTTATATGTGTATCTAATATATCTTTGTCTAGAAAATGGTTTGTAACTATATATACCAGTCTTAATTGTGATTACTGCTGGGGATGATATTGGATGTTTTTGTGAGCAAGTAGAATATTCATTTTTTAAATTTAACATAACTGTGTTATTTAAACTTTTTAAAACAGTATATATTACTTTATTATATGAAAATAGATTTTCTTTTTTTTTTTTAATTGCCAGAGAGTTCATGCACTTTCCAGAGGTAGAAAGAGAATGAGTAAAAGTACCCATCAATGGGATACAGTCTTGCTGCAATCTTTCCTCCTCTATTTCTCCCTGCTTTCAGGACTTTGATCATGCACATATGAACCCAACATGTTTTTCAAGACCCCCAGGGCCAGGACTCAAACCTTGTTCAGCCATGTGGGATCTGGCTCCCAATAAACACCACTTAACCAGTGCACCATGGGGCTGGCAGAAGAATTTAAATGATAATGTAACATTGTTACAAAACTCAGTTCTTGTGGTTACCTTCTCAAGCTATTCACTTGGTAATAACTAGCCTATATGTTTGACTTTTTCTTTTTTCCACGTTAGTTATAAACTAAGTCCTAGGTTTGTAAGTTAGCTAAAAAATCATTTGTTTTGCAAATTATTGGGATTTAAAAAACAATTTAGAGAGTGCTTTCTCTCTCTCCCTCCCTCTCTCTTGTGAAAAGAAGAATGGTAGCAAGTAAGAAAAAGTGTTAGTGAATAAAACAACACCCACATTTGTTCAGATCGTTTTCTTTGTTTACTGTGTTCAATTCTGATACTCTCTTTTGAGGCCTAGTATAGAAGTCAATTTGCATCATTTAAAACTATGTCTACTAGAATGATTTAACTAAATAAAAAAATAGTTTTATATCATGTTTCAGTGTTATTGGTAACAGATTCGTTTATTGTCTTTCAGGTTTCTCAGGACCATGAAACAATGGCCCAAGTTTTGTTCATCATGAGATTGAACGTAGCTTTAACTTTCTGGAGAAAGAGAAGTATAAGTGAACTTGTAGCTTATTTGGTGAGGTAAGTTTAACCTTTGCTCTTTGTTCAAAAACAATAATAAAAATATTTTTCAAAAAAAGTTGCTAGAGGGCATTTGCATTCTCAGGGGAGAGGAATGAGAAAGCACTCACCATGGTGGACCTCCCTTCCATTTCTCCATTCTTTCTTTCAAGATTTTGGGCATACACACACGCTCCCAACACGTCTTCCAAGCCACCAAATCTGGGACTTCAACCACAAAATTAGCCGTGTGAGATCTAGCCACCCTAGCCACTGTACCACCAACTGACCCTACAGAAGAACTTGTTATATTGAAAATTATGTTTATTAGGACCAGGCAGTGGCATGGTAATTAAGGCAGCTGGATCTCACATAGCAATCTTGTGCTGTTCAAGTCCCTGTTCAACCCAGTGGCTTGAAAGGCATGTCAGGCAAGTGTGTGTACTCGCCCAAAAGCCTGAAAGGAGAGATGGAGGAGAAAGGATTGCACTGTGGCCATTCCCCATGGGGGATACTTTTGTACTTTTCTCTGGCTGTCTCTCTCTCTCTGTCTTGTTCTGGCAAATTCCTGTACTCTCTGACAGATTAGGAAAAAATGTTCTCTCTAGACTGACTTTATGGCCTAATGGTCCAGGGAACTGAATCGCACATAGCCACTGTGCAGTTCGGATTCTGGCCCCAGCAGCTTGAAAAACACTGGGTGCATGTGTGCCTAAAATCCTGACAGGATGGAGAAATGGAGAAGGGAGTGCAGTGTGATTGCACTCCACTGGGAGGTTCTCTCTGTCTCTGTCTCTCTCTGGTGAGCTTACACATCCTCTGGCAAGTTTTTCTTTTTTAGGTGATTATCTGTGTAGAATTTTTTTTTTTTTTTAAGAATGATTTATTTGGGACCAGCAGATGGCCTAATGATTACATCACTGGACTCCCATGTAGTCGACTACAATTTGAGTCTTACATTCAGCGGCTTGAAACTCACATCAGGTGCATTTGTGTGTATGCCCAAAATCCCAAGAGAAAAGTGGAAAAAGGATTACGGCGTGGCCATCCTCTCGGTGGCGGGGGGCGGGGGTGTGATTTCTCACTGTCTGTCTCTCCAGCAAGTGCATGCACCCAATAGCCCAAAAAAGAAAGGAAGAAAGAAAGAAAAGAAAAAGAAAAACTCTCCCTCAAAAAAAAGAATTATTTAATTTTTTTTCTTATTCTTATTATTTAAATTTACTATAGGGCACACACACTCACCAGAAAGAGACAGAATGAGAAAGCAAGCCGCCAGGTCTGGGACTTGAATGTGGTTGGCCATGTGGGAGTCCAGTTCCTCAACCACGACACTACCTGTTGGCCCCACTGTCCAGAATTTTAAACTTCCTACCTTTAGCTTCAATGAAGATAATTTGGTCTAAATTACATTTATTACCAGTCTTAAGAATAACTATAATACAGATAACCATTTGTTTTATGAGATTGAAGACAGGTATCACTTTTTTTTTTTTTAAGAGGTTTTTGCCTTAAGGTGTGTGTGCTCGCTGGCGGGGAGAGGGAGACAAGAAACAGTAGAAGGAAAGTGAGAAATCCCCGCCCCCTCCAGTTAGGGGTGGCTACGTTGCAATCCCTTCCCCTCCCAGGATCTTGGGCACGCATGCCCATGTACTTGCTGTGAGTTTCAAGCCACCAGGTCCAGGACTTGAACCATGGTTGGCCATGTGAGAGTCCAGCGATATAACCACTATGCCATCTGTGGCCCCAAGCTGTCACTTTTTTTTTTTACTATGATTCTTACTTAAGTAACTACGAGATACCCATATGGGAAAACTAACCTTTTAGAACTCCCCTTTAAGTAGGAATTTTAAACCTTACCTTCCTCATTGTATTCAAGAGTCTCAGACATTACCTAGTGAGGCTTCCATTGACTACCTTATTTCAGAACCCTTATTCTTCACTTCTCGTCGTCTTTTCCTGGTTTTTTTTTTTTTTTCCACACCACACCACTTACTGTCATCAGCTTAATCTACAGGGAAACTTCAAAAAGTTCAAAGAAAATGGAATTCAAGTACAAGTTTATTTGGGTACAAAAACAATGTTGAATACATGCATCATTTTTAAATAATTTGCATTTCCATGAACTATGTGAAGAACCCTTCTGTATATTTTATTTGTTTGTTTATTGTCTCTGTCTTCCCTACCTTTCCCACAACCCACACTCAATCACATTCTGTTCACTGCTATATCCTCAGCATTGGAATCTTCATAGACACTGACATTATTTGGTAAATGAGTGAATTTCTGAAAAGCAGTGTTAAGATTATAATATAACAGTAAAAAAAGCAAATTAGCTCTTCTAAGCAATGCCATCCTTTTTTGTACCCACAGGATAGATGATCTCGGAGTTGTGGTAGATTGTCTTCCTGTGCTGACCAATAGGTAAAAAAAACAATATATTTCAGAAAAAAAAGTAAGTTTAAGAAGGCAAATTATAGCCTGTTCATATTTTTGTAAGTTAATTTTTCTTTATTTTAGTTTACAGGAAGAAAAACAGTATATCTCACTTGGCTGCTGTGTAGACTTGTTGCCTCTAGTAAAGTCACTACTTAAAAGCAAATTTGAAGAGTAAGTGCTAATTTGAGTGACTATTCATTTTTTTTTCTTAAGATGTCCTTGTTTTTGTGCTTTTTGAGTGTATAGCAGTAGTTGGGGCTTCATGGACATAGATGATTTCTATTTTTAAGGAACTTAAAATTACGTTAGCAAAATAATGTGAAATTATTAAAGAACAATTGCAGAAGCATCTAGGAACAAGTTAAAAGACAGTTTTGCAAAGTAGGTCATGAAAGTAGTGAAGTGAGTTTGTTTTGTTTTGTTTAATTTATTCATGATAGATCATGTACGAGTATACATGAGGTGGGTAGGTCTGTCTATGGTGCAATTCCCTTCCTCTTCCGGCCTCCAGCCTGTCTGACCCTGGGCACTGCAATATGTGCCTGGTGTGTCTCAGGCAGACTAGGCCAGGGTTGCCACATGGATCCAGCCTCTCTTGAGCAGCACGTTACCTCTGCACCCCAGAGTCAGCCCAATTGCATTTTTAACAAGTGAAGAGGTCAATGCTATGTATGTATTTTGGAAGGAGAGATTTTCTTCTGTAAAGTCTGGTAGATGATAACATTTTTTAACACAATATCATTTCAGATATGTAATAGTTGGTCTAAATTGGCTTCAAGCAGTCATTAAAAGATGGTGGTCAGAACTATCATCCAAAACAGAAATTATAAATGATGGGTGAGTATACCTTTAAACAAATTCATGTTGAATTTTTCTTGAGAAAAATAGCTTGATTACACTAGGAAGTAATTTTATCCCATGATCATTAGTATATCATATTTATTTTCTTCATTTTCAGAGGACTGTTAACCTGAGATACTATTCATTTATGAAAATCACACATGAAATTTGAGTTCCAGAGTCTAGTAGTCCCTGTAGCTCTTCTTGCAGAACCCTACCTTTCATTTAGAAAGAAAAACTGCAGTAGTAACTTATTCCTATATTTATCCTATGAGAAGGAGTGGAAAAGGCGATGATGCCCTTAAGTGGAGTGAGGAGTGGAGGCATCCTGCAAGATTTTTTTGGCTACTTAGACACTAACTTGAGAGTTCAGGTTATTGTTAGGTTGTCAGAAAAATCACGACATGTTTTTCTATGCAAAAATGCAGCATGACTTTTACAACAACCCAATATATTATAATTATTATAATTTAAGTATTGCCTTAATGTGAATATATGTGAGTATTCTACCAGATGAGCCAGATTATATGAACACACACACACACACACACACACACACACACACACACACACACTCCCAACCAACAGTCTTCAAGTCCATAATTTTCTTTCTAACCTCTCAAAATTTCCCATTGCATACCCAAGAACAAGTTCTCCAGCTTCTTAGTTGTTTTCTTATCTGCCTTGACAACTAGATAAACTTTAATTTCCATGACTGACATAAACTACTTTAAATAGCTGCTTGCCTGTAAATACCATTTTCTCCTGATAAATACTTGAAAATTAAAAAAATTGATTTTTGTTTTATGCCAGAAGTCATATGCATGAAAGAGAGAGGAAAGCACTCCTCAGTGGGACCTAGTCATGCAATAGGCCTTTCTCCTCCATTTCTCCTACCCATCAGAATCCTAGGCACACATGTGCCCAGTGTATTTTTCAAGTTACCAGGGGTGGGACTGAAACCATGGTTGGCCATGTGGGATGAGGCTCCCTCTATTTAGCACTTAACTGCTCTTCAGCCCCAAAAGTGTTTTCATTAAGTATATTTATACTACTACCAGAATGAATATTTGCTTATTCATTTTCATTTTTCTTTTCTCCTAGAAATATTCAGATTTTAAAACAACAATTAAGTGGATTGTGGGAACAGGAAAATCATCTTACTTTGGTTCCAGGATATACTGGTAATATTGCTAAGGTAATTTATATTGAAGCTTAAAAATTAGAATATGCTCATACAGGTTGAGGATCCCTAATGCAAAATCCGAAATCCAACATCTCGAAAATCTCAAAGTTTTTGAGTACTGGCATGATGCCACAAGTAGAAAATTCCACACCTGAAGTCATGTGAGAACAGGTTGTAGTTACAATGCTGGGATTCAAAAATATTGTATAAAATTACCTTCATGCCATGGGTATAAGGTGTATATGAAACATTCAATAGTTTTGTGTTTACATTTGGGTTCCATACCCAATATATTATATATATGCAAGTATTCCAAAATCTGAAAAAATTCAAAATGCAAAACATTTCTGGTCTAAGGAATTTTTTTTTTTTTTTGGAGAGGTTTTTCTTTGGATGTTTTACCATAGGACAAGTGCGCTCACCAGACAGAGAGAGACAGAGAGACAGAAAATGAGAAATCACCCCCCAGGGGGGATGGCTTCTAAAGTAATTTCATATTTGCAAATGCTTAAGGTCATCGGGGTATGACTGTGACCTTGACAGAAAGCACAAGAATTAGCCACTGAATATGTTTCATATAGAATTACAGAAATACTGTCCTAGAGGATATTTAATGAGGGGAAAATATTTGGGAAAAGTCAAGAATCCAGGTAAGGACAGCATCAAAAAAGACAGTGAACACTCAGGAAACAAGAGATGAGGAACACAATCAAATAGTGTTACAGGGTTAATTTTTCACTTTGCTTTTACTAATGTCATACTGTTTGAGAAAGTAAAGTTAAAATCATAGTATGAATTTGACACTGGTGGTATTTGCTTGTCTTAAAGGTACATTGTTAGCTTAGTTTCTAATATTGGGTTGTCAGAAAAGTCCTGACATATTTTTCTGTTATTCTATGCAAAAATACATCATGATTTTCCAACAACCCAATATTAAAACTTTAGAAAACATTGGTAGTTAAAGTATAATTACAGGGGGAAAAAATTGCCAGGAAATATTTCTACCCTCTTACTGGGCATATTCCTGTCATAATTTTTTTTTACATTTTTTGATTGAAAAAATGTAATATTCTAAATGAGAGGATTTATGTCATGGACTTGGGTGTAAAATTATTCTCAGAGGGCCAGACTATGTCATGGTTGGGATGGCTGGATCCTACATGGCCAACTATGTATGTATTTCAAGTACTAGTAACTTGAGAGACATGTCAGGTACATATGTGTGTATGCTCAAAATCTCAAGAAGAGAATGAAGGAGAAGGGATTGCAGTATGATAATTCCCTCTGAGTGCTTTCTACCCTTCCTTCCATCACTCTCTGGCAAAATAAAAGAAAAATTATTCTTGGTTATCTTCGAAAGATGAAGTAAAATGATATTATCAAGCCGGGTGTTATCAATTTGTATCATTTTATTCTATAGAAGTCTTCATGATGAATATCTTCTAGACAGAAATCAATTTCCTATAAGTTTTTTATTGTTACTTTAGATTTTTAGAGCATCACTTTGCTCTGGCCTTTTTTATTTTTTCCCCAGTTTTTTTTTTTTTTCTGTATTCATGATAGGCCATGTATACACGTGCAAGAGAGAGAATAAAGGAGTACTCTCCACAGGGTCTGATCATACTGTGATTCCCTTCTTCTAGTTGTTCAGCTTGTGGGATCCTGCTCTGTATGACCTGCCTGTCTGAGGCTGACCCAGCCAGGGATTCAAACCAGGTCACCATGTGGTATCTGGCTTCTCTTGAGCATCACATCGCTGCTGTATCATGGAGCCAACCCTGGCTTTGAATTTATAAATAGCACTCATAGAATTGCTGTGAATGTTAGCTATGAAAAGGAAAGTTGTTTGAGCACAGGATCCAAAACATTTTACTAAGCACTTAGCAAGCATTTACTAAACACATGCTATATATACGCCCAGCCCTGTGCGAAACACATGTGGTTTGAAAAGTTGAGTAGGGCATGTCTTTTACCCTCAAATGGTCATAAAGGGAAGCTAAGGCTGATCAAGCAACAAAAGAGAAAAGAAGATGGGTGGTGTATATGTATATTAACTGTCCTGGCTAATGAATTTTTTTTGTTTTATCTTCTAAGGATGTAGATGCCTATTTATTACAGTTGCATTGAGAGATTTTTGTCTACTAAAGAGCATTTGGTTGTTCAAAACATCCTTGGACTGTATGATTTCCAAGAGAAGATCTCATCTGAGAACTGTGAACTGTAGAAGAAATCAAAACCATTTTTTCTTTTATAAAACCACGTAATGAAACCACTAATGAAACCCTAACAATCTACTTCACATTGAAGTGGAAAAATAACTGAAAGGAGCAGCTTCAACTTCAATGAGGTCAAAGTGCACTACGAAGATTATTCGCCTTTGCTGCATTTGGGATTTATATAGTTGTTTAAGAACTACTGGGTCTTAATGCAATCCTACATAAGAATATAATTTATATTATGTGAAAAAATAAGACAGGACTTATTACTAGGAACCACAAAGACCAATCATCATTCATTTTTTTTAAGGTTGTGTTTTATAAAAAAACACTTAAATGTGTGCAGCTATTTTCTTATGTTGAAAAAGACTTTGAACATTTAAGACATCATAGCAAATAATCAATATTAAAATGTTTTTGTCCACACTGAGATACTGTGTATGCAAAATGCCTTAATTATTAACAAGCCAATGTTTCATGATACCCATATCTGTTTTAAAAAGTTAAAACCAACCATGTTCTGGCATGATAAAATCATGGACTTAAATCAGGGGGTTACATTCATGTAGAATGTTATTGTCGAAATGTATTCCACACCATTTTTAAAACTTGAGAGTATTTTTAGGTCTCTGGGTTTTTTTTTTGCCGGAAACATGATATCATGTATGTATGCGTTATCCCTATGAAAGGAAAAAGGTGAATATGTATCTGTATGAATGTTTAACTGGAAATGTCCATGGAGTTGGCTAATTTATATTCACTTTTTATTGTATATAGATTTCTAATATTTTTCATTTCTGTATCATTTAAACTTCTGTCATTTGAGTAAATTTACTAAATACTCTATTTTTTGCTTTTTAAAATTCTGATTTTATATGCATTCTAATTCTTTTTCAGTATATATGTTTTAAAGAGTTACCTACTATGCTTTAGAATTGTTTACAGTTAATGCTGACCTTGTTTAAATTCCAGAACTCCACATTACTACCTCCTCTAATGGTTAGTACAATATGCCAGCAGACTATATTAGTTCTTCTTTTTTTTTTTTTTTTTTTAATATGCTACGTTTAGTTCCGTGAACTCGACTCTGGGCTATCAGAATAGTTCTAAGTCTTACCTAACCTGAAAATGATTGGTGTTTAATACCATAGCTGGTGGTTCATATATCATCTCATCCTTAGTAATCCTAACAGGCATCTGAGCAAAGATTTGTAGTAATCAAATTCTCTGCAGTGATCCTGCAAGCACATGAATGTAAACCTTTAGCATTTACCCAATAGTGACTACTGATGTAAATTGCAGGTATCATACTTGCTGTAAAAATGTTAAAAAAAAAAAAAAGTTACCTTTCACTGAGTTCTATTTTTGTATAGCTATTTTTCATATAGCTATGTATTCCTCAAAGTGAACATCAATTGCAGTAATTGGTTATTTTCTTAAATCTTTCGGTTAGAATAATTTCAGGTAACTGCACTTTATAATTTGAGAGGTGAGTTACTTAAGTCGTTTTTTTTAGACCGTGGGAATTTGAATTGTAAACCTGCATCATCACCATGAAAGCTTAAGATGATGAAATACAAACTTTCTTTGTTCCTATTCCTTTAGTTATCATTGTCTTATCTAGCAGTTTGAACCAGTTAACTTGATTGGAGTATGGTGCTAATGAGGCTAAGAACAGGAGTTTGATCTTTTCATAAGTTTGTTAACTATACACACAATAATTTCATGGCAATAACTTGTCACAGGAAGATAATTCTTATAGCATAGCATAAACCCTTCACCTCAAGTGGAAAGGTAACTCAAATAATTGGCATATGTGATATTGCAGACTTCTAATATTTAAAATGCCATGTTCAAAATAAGATACCTAGAACACTAATTCTTAGTCTCACAGTTTTAAATAATACTGGGTCAGTGTGTGTGTGTGTGTGTGTGTGTGTGTGTGTGTGTGTTTCTAGGTCAAATCATTGACTAAACAGTATTTTAAAAATCAGATTTCAATAAATCAAACTTCAGTAAAAATTAAGTACAGAATAGGAATAAAATATAGTAAGCAAAGCAGAGGCATTAGCCTGTTAACACCGAGTTCTTATGCCTAAATTTAGGTTTGTGGAAGGTGTGTACAAAATTCAGTACTCTATTTTGTATACTCAAAGCTCCAGAAGGCAGCAGAATCTCGTTCTTAAAGATTATTCAGTAGCACACACTCCCAGTTGCTGTTCTTGATCTCTGCAGTTTACCATAGTACCTACCTCTCTTACTGAGTTGTGATTCATCTTAAGTGATTTTCAGATTCTTGGATTAAAGATGTTAGACATAATGTTGATGTTAAACTCTTCTCATGCTACAGCATTTTCATTATAAACAGTGTTGATTTCCAGAAAGAGCCAAAGAAAGTGTTTACAAAATGTTTGGCTGTTGTATTGGCCTACATGAGGACAGCTGCTGTCTGCCATTGTTCATTTGAGGCCGTGCTGCTAAGCAGCATACAGCATTGAGGGACTACCCAAGGTCTCTGTGCCCTTTCAGTTCTTCTACCCTTTAAAGGTATTTGTACTTGATTTTCCTAACTTTACAAGTATAAGGACAGATAGTTAATTGAGGTAATTGAGGATCAAGTAATTTGCTCTTACCGGGAACCAAGTGAATGCATTTTGAAATGAGTGATTATGATCAGAATAAGGGTTAAAATGGGAAGCAAGTATTATGAGGGGGTTTTAAAAATTAAATGTTTGGCAGTAATGTCAATGGTGATTGGCACTGATTATTTACATGAATCATGACATGTGAGAATTTGGATATAAGTATCTATATCCACTTTGGGAGTCATAAATATTTGCACTGAACTTTAAGGAATATTGGGGAATTAAAATCAAACACCTCTAAACATACATGGTACATGTCATATCCTAACCTTAACATGGTTGCATGGATTCAAAGCTGTATATTTCTGGCCTTTGAAACAGTAGTTCTCTCAAACTTAAAATGTTTCTATATCCTACAAGTTGTTGATATAATTAGTGGATAACTAACTGGTGTGATGATTATTAGCTATTGAATGCTGATAGTAAAAATAGTATTTAAATGCTTAATTACTTGTTAGTCTGAAAAGGCAAGATTTCATTAATGTTTCATCAGTCATCCACAGTTATTTTTCTTCCTATTTAGGAACAAGATAGTAATATATCCATTATATTTATTGATTTAAAGAAAAAAATTAGAATTACAAGCAGCTGACTCATCTGGGATGATCTATTTGGATACACTACTTACCTTTCAGTACAAATTTATTTTCTGGATTACTTTAGATGGAAATACTATTGCTGGACATATGTTGGCAGGTGTTTATTCCTATGTTGTTCTTTCTTAGTTTCTAATTCTTCTAACTATGAAAATTGTCATAAAAAGTTGTGACGCTATTTCTCTCTTCATTTTTTAATTCTGTAACAGGAGTATAGAAAAATAATTCATTATTAAACACTGTATGCTCTAATTTATAACATAGCTTGATTGATTCGGTAACAGCACCAACTATAACAATAAAAATAAATATTGTATAACATATACCCAGTATACTGAGTACATTTCCAGTGCTGTATTTAAAGTAAAAATATCCTGTAATCTCAGCTATTTAGGAGGCTGAGGCAGGAGTTTGAAACCAACTTGGACAACATAGTGACACCCTGGCTCCAGAAAATAAATAAATAATATTTAAAATCCTATAGTCATTATAATTTTTTCTGGGTCAAATTATTAACTGTTATCTTCTAAATATCAAAATTCCTTAAAAATTGAGTACAGGGGCCAGCAGGTGGCATGATGGTTAAGACACTGGACTTACATATGGATGACCATGGTTCTATTTCTGGAGTTGGTGGCTTACTTTCTCACTTACCCTCTATCTGTTTAAATAAAATAATTAACAAAATTAAATAATTCTTTTTAAACATTAAGTACAACTATAAATAAAATACAGTATGGATCACACTATTTTCACATATATAGTATAATTGATTATAAAACAGAAAAAGACATAATTACTATCTACCAGCAATTCTATGAAAGTGTAGTCCCACAAATACCAATGTATTTTTCACTATAAAGCTTGTTACATAATATTGCTTTTTGTTTGTTTGTTTGTTTGTTTTTGGGGGAGAGGTTTTTGCTATAGGGCGCGTGCATTTGCCAGAGACAGAGAGACAGAAAGCGAGAAATCACCCCCCAGGGGGGTGCCCACACCGCAATTCCTTCTCCTCCATTCTTCTCTCGGGATCTTGGGCACACACGCACACACACCCGGTGTGAGTTTAAGCCACCGAGTCCAGGACTTGAACTGTGGTCGACTACATGGGAGTCCAGCAACATAGCCATTACACTAACTACTGGTCCCATAATATTGCTTTGATATTCTATAGACTGATATTTTCAGATGGGAGATATCAAGAATTCAAATTAGTATTCAGCCCCTTAATACACGTAACGTAGTGTTGATTCTTAAGCATTACAGTATTCTGTATTTTCATTCAGGCTTTTTTTGTTTTGTTTTAATTTTGCCAGAGCACATGCATGCTTGTAGGAGAGGAGGATAAAAAGTGAGAAAGTACCTTCCTACCTCCATAAGGAATGATCACACTAATCTCTTCTCTTCTACCTCTCCTTCTATTTGGGATTTTAGACACATGTGCACACGCTCAGGTGTTTTACTGGGTCTGGGATTCAGACCACACAGTTGGCCATGTTGGATCCAGCCACCTTAAACCATGGACTGGCCCTCATTCAGATTTAAACCAGGGTTTTGTTTATGTTTTTGTTTAATTTCAGGGCCAAGACTGTTCTGATACTGTGAACACAGAAGAATTAATCCAGATTATTTTCTAGGGTAAGAGAATTGTAGGCATCCTAGGATATGCTGAATCCTCAGAATTACTTGCTTGTAGAATTACTTTACTACATTTATCAACCAAAACTGAAATATGGGTTCTGTGTGGGAAATGAATTTCACCTTCCAGGAGTCAGAGTAGAGTTAGCATCCATTTATATTTCTACTTTTATTTTTGTTTTTAAAGAAGAAAAATAATTAGCCCTTTGTAGTATACTTGTCAACCCCTCTATACAACCGCAGTTCATCCTCAACTCTAAGAAATTATACCTTTCTTGTAGGTAAGTCCTAAACTTACAAGGAGTTTGGAAGAAGAAAGGGAAATCCTTTCCCCTTACATGTACCCTTTAGCAGAATTTTTTTAAAAATCTTTTAAATTGTACCATGAGTATTTTCTTTTATCTAAAAATCATGTAAGATACAGTGGAATTTTTTTTTCTTGTTAAGTTTCTTTTTTAAATTACGAAAGTTGGACCAATCCTCCAGAGTGATGGTTAAGCACTGTGTATCAAAAGCCAGATCCCACGTAGCCTACCACAGTTTGAATCCTAGCCCTGGCAGTTGAAAAACATATGGGTGTGCGTGTGCCATATCTGATAGGATGGAGAAATGGAGAAGGAATTGTGGCGTTGCAATGTGGCTACATCCCTTTGGGAGTCAGTCTCTTTCTCTCTCTGTCCCTTTAGTAAGCATACACACCCTCTGGCAATTAAAAATAATAAAATTATAAAAGTAGTATATGATTTCTCGCTTTCTGTCTTTCTGGCAAGGGCACGTGCCCTATAGCAAAAACATCTCAAAAAAAAAAAAAAAAAAAAAAAAAAAAAAAAAAAAAAAAACTTAGCTCTTCAAAAAAATAAAACAAATTCTCGATAACTTGACTTTCTCTTAAAACATCTATACAAGGAATTTATTTAATGAGATACTTAAAACTGAAAATCTCTCTTGCCTCAATATTGTTCTTCAGATTCTTATGATTTTAATTAGAAAGTAATTACATTCTGTCCTTGAGGAAATTCAATGCAAGAAATGGAGAAAAAAAAATAATAATAGCAACTGAGTGAAGTAGTAAGGCTAATAGATACATGTCTAACACACAGTAGCTGAATATTAATGTTGTACCTAAATACTGACCATGATCAAACATTAGGATTGTTTTATTAATATCTTTATGAAGAGTAAAGGGAAGGGAGTTTTCTTACAAATAGGTTCACTCATTGAATGACCCTTTTGCTATACCATGTTGATGTTTTTACAGTATTTTTTTTCCTTTTTAAATTTATCTTTTTAGATTAATTCACTATACATCATTACAGCATACCAAATGAATTTTCCATCCAGAATACACTGTATATTGGCTCAGTCAAGCACATCAACGTATGTGTTATCAACAAATAATTTTCCATTTCTTATGTCTTGTATATTTTGTATATTTTGCTTTTTA